TTCAACTCCAAGTACCAAGGTTCGGCCTTTGTTACTTTACCCCCCACCCCCATCCTTTTGCAACTGGGGTCAAAAAAGCCCTGCAGGGCAGCATGGTTTTGCACATGCTATCAGGCTGCTCTCATAGCCTAAATTACCGGGAAAAGGGTTAGAAATCTGAATGCAGATCTGTGTACGGTGGCAGCAGTTTGGATGAGAGGATGCATTAAAACCCATTAAACCCCACGTGATCCCTGCAGCACAATTCTCTTTTATCTCTCTCCTCTTCACCGCCCGGAGACTAAAGAGCTCATCTCCATAAGGCTCATCTCCATAGGGCTGGGGAAGCAAAGGCTTCCACAACCTTTACTTGTTTCTGCTATTTCTCCCAGTATCTGTTGTGGCTTTATAAACTTTATTGGGAGATTTTAAGGTGTTTCAAGCATCTTTGAAGGAGACTGATAAATATAAGTTCGAGAAAAATACAAAACATTTTGAGTTTTCCTTAAAAGTTCCTGAAGTTTTACTTCACGCATTAGAAATGAGCTATTTATCTGGACTTTTTTTTTTTTTTTTTTTTTTTTTTTTTTTTTCCTTTTACTTGGTAATACACATCCTTCAAAGAGTTGTGAAAGTCCTTAATATTAACTACTGTAATGAAACAACCCCTTGGTCTGGGTGTGAAGTCTCTAGTGTATAAACATTCACTGTCTTTATTTCTTCCTTAGACAAATAAAACCACATAAGCCAGCCCGCTGCAGGCTGGATAAATCTTTCTCATAATGAACTGTTTTATGCAGATGTCTTCTGAGGGGGGCAAAAAACCTTAAATGTGGTTACTATGTCAACAAATGCCGGGATTTAGGCATTTTTCTCAAGACGTCTGCAGAAGGCTGAGGGGAAATTTATGGAGCGTGTTGCGCTGACACCCTTCCAGCTGTTCCTCCCCCCGAGCGCAGGGGAGGCAGTGGCACGGCTCGGGGTGCAGCGGCTCCTTCGGAGACCCCCAAGCGTCCCACGGAGCCGTGGAGGGCTGGGGCTTCTCACGGAGGGTAACCTGGGCTGCTCGGGGGGCGCTTGGGGCGTTTCGGGGGAGAACGAGAGCAGCCCTGCTTTTCTTTGTGCTGAGCTGAGATCCTTATCGGGAGGGGGGAAGGGGGGGGAAAG